CCCCCCGGGGGGGGGGGGGGGGCATGTTGAAGGGGAAAAAAAAAACAACAAAGTAATAAAAATCAGCATTTTTCTGTTGTTGTTTTTTTTTTCTCCTTGGGAACTGGCTGCTTTGGGCAGGGAGATCTCCAGGTGGCAGCTCAGCCTCCAGGAATCCTGCATCTGGGGTTGTCCCAGCTCCTGCTCTCTCCCCCCACCCTGGGGACACCCCCATGGGGACCCCCCCCCATTGCATTTCCACCCCAGGAACCACCTCCCCCCTGTTCCAGACACAAGGAGCTGGGGGACGTTGGACACCTCTGTGGCTTTCCCCATTCCCAGGGCTCAGCTGGGCTGATTCCCCCCCAGCCATGACATCCCTCACCTTCAAGCCCATCACCACCTTTATTTTTCTCACCATTGCCACAAAATGCCATTTGATCTTTGGAAAACTTCATGTAAGACACAGAGAGAGGAGCCCTGGGATGCACTTGCTCACTCCCACCAGCTTCTTGGGACTCATTTTTTTTTTAGCCACAGACACTTTTTGCACCATTTCTTGACATCAGGTGAAGCACCAAGTCCATGGAGCTGCAGGGTCTCCTGTGACCAGTGAACTCCTTTGCCCTGGAGCATTTTTATTTCTCCTCCAAGAGCCATCAAGCCTTTGCAATTCAAGGATCTCAGTTGAACCCACCATTTTTTGACTCATATCCACTTAAGTAACTTGAAAGAGCAAAACCTGCTTCCTCCTTATCCCATGTTTCTGAGGCAGTTACTGGTTTACGGGGTTTTTTTATGGCCCAAGAGGCCCAGTCAGATAATTTCAAGTGTTGCCTGATGCAACAGCCCAAGAGTTGCTCAAGCCAACCCACGTCATGGCCCTGACTTGCTGCAAGTTTCCTGCCAATAAAAGACAACCAGCAATTTATGCAAAAAAGTGGTAGTTCCCTCATCCCCCAAGCTAGAGGTGTGGGGGTTTCAAACATCTCAGGCTCTCCAGGGAGAATTACAAAGCTATTCCCAAAGGAGCTCAGGGATTCAGGGATCCTGCAAGGCCAGTTTGGGTGATTCATAGAATCATGGAAAGGTTTGGGCTGGGCAGGGACCTTAAAGACCATCCAGATCCAACCCCCTGCATGGGCAGGGACACCTCCCACCAGCCCAGGCTGCTCCAAGCTCCATCCAACCTGCCCTTCAACACTGCCAGGGATGGGGCAGCCACAGCTTCCCTGGGCAACCTGGGCCAGGCTCTCACCACCCTCACCTTTCCAGTGGTTTAATTAAATCTCACCCTGTGGCAGGGACTGAATAGCCAGGACAGATCCTGGATGGGAAGAGCAGCAAAACCCTCCACGCTGGGAAACCTGCCCCCAGCAGAAGGGCTGCAGGGCCCTCCTCAGCCCTTGGTCCACAGCTCAGGCACGTGGCTCAGAGCTGCTCTTCTCCCCTTTCCTCTTGTGTCGTGGTTCATCCCCCTCCACAGGGGCTCCCACCCTTGCCTTGGGTATCTTGTACTTGCTCTTCTGGCTGTACAGGAGGTTTTTCTGGAAGAGCCGTGGGATGTTGCCCTGGTAGAGCAGGAGGGCAACCAGCATCCCTGAAAGGAGAGCACAGACCCCCTCTGTGTGCTGGGCAAGTTGGTTTCCAGGCCCTTCCCACAACCTGCAGCATGATCAGCACCTTGCTCAGCACCACTGAAGTCCCCACTGGCAGTATCTGGAAGACCCCTGGCACATTATTTCATGAAGAATTTAACCCTCGTGCCCTTAACACAACAGCAAGGCTTGTTTGGAGCCAAAATGGCCACAAACCACCATAGTCTCCTTTCTCCACTTCTAGGCAGCAAGTATCCAACCCCCCATGGTCACCCTGAAGCTGTGGACAGCTTCAACAGCACAGCTCAAGCTGTGGTTACCCTAAAACATCTTTCATCTCCCCCAAACTTCAGCCTCAGGGAGATTTTTTTCCTCTATTTCCCATGTAGGAATTGGATTAAAAGAATGTATAACAAAGGGGTGACTGGAGGGAGAGGGAAGGGGGACAGGACACCTGCCACTATCAGGGTCCAGGTTCAGCCCCTCCCCAGGAGCAGTTTGTGTTACAGGCAGCATTTCTGCCTTGCCCACTGCCCCATATGCTAACCCCTGTCCCCCCAGTAGAGCTCACCTGCAAGGGGACCCAACCAGTAAACCTGGATGTAGTCCCAAAAGCTGTTCCCTGAGCAGTGGAAGGTGGTGGCCGTGGCCAGGGCAGGGTTGAAGAAGGCTCCTGTGAATGGTCCAGCTGTGTTGGAAGAGAAGCAAGGTCATCAATCTCATTTGCATCCTTTGAAAGGGCCATGAGGAGGAGAAGGGGCTGGAACATCTTTTAGAAGGAAGGGCTGGGAGAGCTGGGACTGCTCAGCCTGGGGAAGGGGAGGCTGAGGGGGGATCTGATCAGTGCTGATCAATATCTGCAGGGGGTGGCAGGAGGATGGGCCAGACTCTGCTCAGGGGTGTCCAGGGACAGGACAAGGGGCAATGGGCACAAACTGGAGCTCAGGAGGGTCAAGTTCAACATGAGGAAAAGCTTCTTGCCTGGGAGGGTGACAGAGCCCTGGGACAGGCTGCCCAGGGAGGCTGTGGAGTCTCCATCCCTGCAGACATTCCAGCCCCACCTGGATGTGTTCCTGTGGGATCTGCTGTAGGGGATCCTGCTCTGGCAGGGGGGCTGGACTGGGTGATCTCCAGAGGTCCCTTCCAACCCCCAGCATTCTGTGATCTGATGAAAGACCAACCACCAGCTGGGCCAGGTGCCTGACAGGAGCACCCCTGGTGCCCAAGCTCCACCAGCTGCACCTCCCAGACTGCATGAAACCAGCACCCAGGGAACACCCCCTGTGTGGGCAGCAGGAGAGCTCAGTGCAGCTGCATTAGGGGTTGTTCAAGGGAAGTGCTCCCAGTCTTGTGGGCAACCTGCGGCTTCTCATCTGCCAACACCCTCTACAGTCTTCATCCCAAATAAATATTCCCCAAAAGGAGTAGAAAACAAACAACTTAGTAACGCTTCTCTCTCAAGTCCTGGAAGACGAACAAGGGTATTTTTTCCTACATTGCTTGGAAAAAAGAAAGGCAGGAGCTGCTCACCTGTGTAGGTCAGGAAGGTGACAGTCCCTGCCAGGGCAGGGACACGGTACAGGGGGTGACTCTGGCGCAGCTTGAGGAGGAGAAGGTGGAGAAGGAAAGAGCAGGTGCCCTCCAGGAGGGCCGCGTGGTGCAGGGAGGTGTGGATGGAGGAGCTGCACTCCGAGGCGATCAGGTTCTGGATGAAGTGGAAGTCAGTCAGCTCCCAGGACCAGTAGAGCCTGGTGGCAGCCCAGCCCGTGCCCGTGCCCACAGCCTGGGCCAGCAGCTTGGCAGCAGTGGTGGAGAGGTTGGACTCCAGAAGCAGGAACTCCTGTAGAGAGACGGTGGGGTTGGCGGATGCTCCATCAGATGAGGCAGCATGAAGGGTGAAGAGGAGGAAGAGCAGAGTCATGACCACATCTGCGCCAAAGCCACCACCCCACGGGCCTATGTCCATCAGCATCCTCAGCTCCAGGCAGCTGGTGCAGAGCTGAACTGAGCCAGCAAGTTCTCTGGCCAGGCATTCATAGGCTCCAGGAGACAGGAGCCTCTTGGAAAGCCTCCTGAGCACCTGGCACAGCCCCACCACCAGGAAAAAAAACACGATGGAGACGTTCAGGCCAGCCATGGAGAAGGTTGTGCTGAGGGCAAGGCTGATCCGAAGCCTGGGAAGGAGCAGGGAAAGCTGCTGCACCTCCTCTTTGTAGAGCCACGTGTAAGCAAACGTGGCGCAGCCCCACAGGCTTGGGAAAGGCCCCACGTGCTGCCCTCTCCTCTGTGGGGCAAGCCCTGCTGCCATGGGGAGCTGCTGGGCCACTAAACAGGTGGCTTGTCCCAGAAAGCAGGTCCTGCTGTTATCTCCACCACACGGGCACTCAGATTCCAACCCCAAGCACTGATACCTGAGAGCCAGCAGGAGCTCCCCAGAGCTGCTCAGACCTTCCAGAAGCAAAAACCTTTCTTTTGTTTCTCCTTGGCACCATAAATCACACCTTGCTCCCTCGGTCCCAAAGCCTGGGATACGAGGGGACCCTTAGGAAGCCAGGAACTCCTACAAGGAGTTCACATTTCTCCAGGGCAGAGCCACTCCAAGCCACAGCCAAGTCCATCTCGAGCCAGTTGGAAAGCTCAGCTTGCTTCTTGCTTCCTCACATGAAGACCTCACCTCGTTTGTGGGTGGCACTAATTGCCTGTGCCATCCATCTGCAGGTGGCATTTTAGCCACAGTGACACTTCAACTCCTTCTGCTGGTGGGACAGGATCTTTCCCAGCTCCAAAGCTACCCCAGAGTGTGATTCTTACCCAATTCTGGGATTAAACAACAGCAGTGACAGATCCACCAGTGGCTCATTTCCCACCTCTCCAAGCACCTCAAGGCCACCCAGATCCACCCAGCTTCCCACAGCTGCTCCTCTAGAAACCAAAACTGCCTGAAACGTCTAATTCTCACACCAAAACCCACTTTTCTGTGGCTGGAACATCAGTGTCTAAACCAAATTTGCTTGCAGGGCTGCCAGGAACTGCTTAAAATGCAGGTAATTTAAATAGGTTGGGGTGGGGTGGTTTTTTTTTGCCATGGGATAGGGACAAGTTGGCATTTCCACAGTTAAATGAAATCAACTCTTCTCCAAAAAACACTAAAGGGTAACAAAAGCTGAACAAAACCACCACCACGTGTTGATCCTTGAGGTCCCTTCCAAGCCAACCTTCTATGATTTGATGCTTTTCAACCCCAAAAGGGGTAACAGTGACAGGTGAATATGGTTGTAAGGTTATTTAAGGTGAGTTTTCCTGGGCAGGGAAGTGGGTAAGAGGTTCCCAAGAGCAGGTACCTGTTATCAGCCACAAGGCAGCAGAAACCCTGCATCAGGTTTCCTCCCACAGGCAGCCAGAGGAAAAGGGCTCAAGGACTTTGTGAAAAGACCTGAACCCTTAGAACAAGGATTCCCTGGAAGGAAAAAAAATAACAGAGATGGATCATCCTTAGCACATGATTTCATGAAGAGGTTAAGGCTCGTACCCTCAAATCCACCCTAGGACCCCCAAAATGCCCCCAAATCCACCCTAGAACCCCCAGCCCCCCC